TTTTTTTTTTCTTTGGAAAATGGGGAATATGAGTATTAACTATTAATATATCATTATGCAATAATTATATAAACTATTGAATTATTCTATAGACTTGTTTAAGTGAATAAAGTGAAGTGAAAATTTTGACGTAATTACTGAGTACATGCTTAGGCTATGTTTTGGTAAAACTAGCTGATAAGCTAGCTGATAGCTTATATGTAATTTTTTAGTTTATAGCTTATGACTTGTAGCTGAAAAACTAGCTTATATGATAAAAGTGTTTGGTAAAATTAGCTGATAAGCTAGCTAGAATAAAAAATTCAACTAGCTTATTTGAAAAGCTATCTAAACAACCTTATCAAATAAGCTCGAGCTTTTTAAATAAGCTCGTCCTACCAAACGGGGAATATTTGAATACAAGAAGCTTATAAGCTAACCAAATAAGCTATAAGCTAGCTTATTTGGTTTACCAAACGTACCCTTAATACTACGACTAGTTGATTATCAATTAGCTAATGAAGAGTATATATTTTTCTATTCTCCAACTAAGAATAAAAGAAATATCTCACGTGTACATAGCTCTTAGTGCTTCCCCAACGCACCGCTATTTCTCCCTTTTTCGCTGGAGTGGCGCAAAAACTTAACCCAATCCTGCGCCACATCATTGCACTGATTAGAGGAATGAACATTGTAGCAACTCTACACCTCTTTTTTTTTAGTTTTTTTTTTTATGTATTTTAATGTAATACTAATGATACTTCTTATATAATATATTAATAAATGTATTTTTATGTTAAATAATTTGTTCAATCTATTTTGCAACCCTGGGTTGTATTTTGCACGTTTGTGCCTTTTGTTTTTATAAAATCTCTATCGTTTCGTAAAAAAAAAATCTATTTTTGTGCTAAATAATTTTGTGCTTTTTATTTATTGATGTATTTTAATTTTATTTTAAACTTTTCTAATATTAAAATGGTATCATATGAATAAAATTGTAACACAATCAAACAAGTAGATTTCATTAAAATCAAAATTTTACAACACACGCAAATCAGAAAGTACACAAATTAAAACAAAATAATATTAAAATAAAAAGATTACAACACACGTAAATCACAAAATACACAAATAAAAACAACATAATTAAAGATGACTAAAAAATTTACAACACACATAATCACAAAATACACAAATAAAAACAATATTTATATAAGATTAAATATACATATATATAAAAAATTATTCGAAATAAAAAATGAATAAAAAAAATATATTTGATGTAGAGTAAAATGTAGAGATAAGGGCAGGGCCTTCTCCAGAAATTTGGAGACCCCAGACAATTATTTCAAGAGTGACCCGTAATCGTATTATTATATTTTTATTTTTTTAAATATCTCTTCTTTTCTTTCTTTTTCCTTTTCGAACTTCCCGATTTGAATTTGAGTTGGCCCGTCATAACTCGTTTAGCAAATGTGATCATAGGTAGAATGATAAAATACTATATGAATAAAATTATTTACAATACTAATTAAGAAAAAATATAGACAAATACTATAAAAAGAAAACACAAATTGAACAAATAAATTTATTTACAATATTAAGAAATCTTATCATCCTGGGTTTAATAAAAAAAAATTAAAAATAAACTACATAAATCGATCTAAAAAGGCAAATAAATATATGAGAACATCCATTTGCAAAATCTAAAAAAACTTCTTCCTAGGCAATTCAAGCATGAGGCTCTCGGTTCTAAACTAACCTATGAGAGCAGTCTTTTGCAAAATCATATTGTAATTTCAATTTGCAACCATAGACTCTCATTCACCAAATAATCCACCCTTATCATAATACCTCCGAAAAAAAAAAATTAGCAAAGGAAATGAATATATCCTATAGCCTAATTGATCTTCATTATTTAACCAGTCAAAAAATTAGCAAAGGAAATTAATATATCTTAATTGATAATTAATCCTAATTGATCTTCATTCTTCAACCAGACGGATCAAAAGCCTTGAAATTCCATGTTGGTAGTCAAATGAAGAGTATAATGGTCCCGTTTTCTATTTATTATTTATTTATTTATTACGTTTTTGGTTAAAAAGATGATCGTCATAATTTCAAACTGTCTTATTCATCATATTTTCATGCATTATGAGTGATGTAGTGTGATATTTATTCATGTTTATCGTAGGAATTGTGCACCATTATGCTATATTTATTAAACTATGATAGAGGTGTACTTTTGTCGATAGTTTTGCAGGAATATGCCCAAAAAAACTTAAAAAATGGAGTCGGGACGAAAAACGACAAAAATCAGGTGCTGAAAAGGACACACGACTTGTGTGGGAAGTGACACGAGTCGTGTGCGTGAGAAAAAAATCAACGTTTTGCTACAACATTTTCACACTGGTCGTGTGACCCGGTCGTGTGAGTCTGGGAGTTGGCCGAAAATTCGAGGAAAGTCACACGACTCATGTGACATATGACACGAGTCGTGTGACGCGCAGACTGACCAGCGAGAAGTAGGATTCCTACGCAATTTATCCTCTTTTTCGACCCATATTTGCCCTACAGTATATAAGGAACTTGGAGAACACGGTTTTTGGACTTTTGACACCATTGGAGACTTAGAGAAAGTACGAAACACATGAGGGATTCGAGGAAGTCAAGATTGAAGATCCGAGAACTAACGGCGACAATAGTTCTTTTCTCTTTTTCTTCTTCATTGAACTCATGGATTTATTTATTTTGAGTTTTGAGAATATGTTTAGTAGCAAACCTCTTTGAGATTCTAGAATTTGCGAGTACTCGGATTATTTTATGAAGTGATTTTATTTATTCATTTCGGTCTATCTTTTGTTTATCAATTTCTTGTGATTATATGAATTGTGTGAATATAGGGCCCATATTTGTGCATATTTGTGATTGACTTGAGACTGAGAGGAGATAGTTGATTGCTAGAATTGGGAAATTCATAACATAAGAGACTAAACAGACCGAGAGGTTGATAGAATCTTGCGAGGGAACTAGAATCTTAGGAGCTTATGAGAGTTAGTTGTTCATCCTGAGACCGAGAGGAGATAAATAGCAATTAATATCTACGATTTTACTTGTTCGAGAGAAAGGTGTAAATTACTTTAGCGATTATCCCTACGATTGGTAGAATTAAATAAGGTTTGAATCAATAAGAAAACTTTGCTAGAATAATCCCGAGGAAAGCATTGCCTAGAATCTATTTTCTCATACTTGATTTATTTAGGATAAGCCTTCTTTAGTGTTAAGAATTTATTTTGCATTCATTCATTAGTTTAGAACAAAATCACCATTCAAATTCGAGTTAGTCTAAATAATATTTAATCGTCTATATTTTGGTACTTAATTATTTTAACAACAATATCTGTGGAATACGACCTTGTTCGCCGCTTTTTACAGCTACACCGTAAACTTGCGGGTAGTGAAAATATTTTGCGAACATCTGTTAGTTAGCTAATTTCATTTACCAACTACCAACACCATCTAATTTGATCAGCAAAAAAAATGACGGGATTAATTGTCATTTAATCAGTAAAATTACTTGATTAGACTCCACAATTGATTAATTTACGTATTTATTTACAACGAAAGTTCCCTTTAAATTTCATGTGGTTGTCAAAAGAGAAGAAGATATTCTTGTCCCATTTACTATTTATTGATTTATTTATTTACTAGTACGAATCTTGTGCGATACACGTAGCACTGTTAAACGGGCCGGTCCGACCCGGCCCGCTCCGGCCCGCGATTCAAACGGGGCGGGCCAAAATGGCCCGCATTTCTACGGGCTGGGAAATCCATGGCCCGTAGCCCGCCCGCATTAGCCCGCGGGCCAAATCGGCCCGCCCGCAGTTTTTTTTTTTAATTACTGTTTTTTTATTGTTATTATTATTTTTTTTTTGCAATTTATAATGCAATTTTGGTTTTTAAATTCAAACTATAAAAGGAAAAAAGGAACAGTGGGAATAAAATTACTTGTACAATATTTTGATCTCGATGGTGACCATATATTGTGATTGAATTGTGGAAAAATGCAAAATGAAATTAAAAACTTTCATCCTTTAATAATTGGCCATTTTTAATAATTGTTGTTGCTATTATGCTATATTAAGGAAAGTGATTGAATTGAGACATTTAAA